GCGTTTCCATTCCCCTCCTCCTCCTCCATGGCTTCCCTTTTTCATTTCTTGGGTCTGGGGTACCAGAGGCGTCAGCTCCGCAGGGAGCAGACGAGCTTCTGGTGCTCCGGGCTGCGGTCTTGCTCCCCCAAAGTAGGCAGTTCTCGAGTTTGGGGACTTAGGTGGGGGAGAAGTGGCTATTTTTATTGTCGTTTTTCCGCCTCTGCCCCCCTGCCCATCGCCGCCCCCACCCTCGTTCCCGTGCGTTGCAGCTTCCCAGCCTGAGGGCTGATGACCGCGCCTCATCCGTTGCATCCTTGCGCGCTTCCAGGAAGCAGGGGCGAGGGCGGTGACCCCTCGGTCTCTGTTACCAGGTCCCCCACGCCTTCCTGGGAGGTGCGACCTTTGGAGTCCCGTGGGCAACACTTGCCGGGAGGCTTAATGGGAGTCAGAAGCATGGCCGACTTTAGCACCATGGTTACCCGACGCGGCGAGGGGCTTTTGTTTTCCTGTCGAAAATTCTACAATGAAAAATAAAGTTTTTGTGTCGGGGGAGATAGATAAAATAGTAAAGACAGCCGACATGAGCTGTGCGCCACGTGCTTTGCATGTTTTCTCATAGACCCCTCAACGATCCCATGGGGTGGTAGATGATTATCCTCATTTTACAGAAGGAGCTGAGGCTGAGAGAGGTCGCACAACTGGCCCTCATCAGCGACTGCTGCTGTTGAACATTTGAACCTGCACGAGAAACCAGGTTTTTCAGGCTCCAGCCTCTGCAGTGCTGACTTACTGTGCTACTCCTGTCCTGCCTGTGTGCTTCATCGCTTCCAGTTGCTTTACTAACATTTGCAATGGCTGAAAGCATTCATTAAAAAAAAAATTTTTTTTTGGAGTGCCTAACAAAAGACAGACATGATCTCTGTCTTTATGGAGCATCAGTGTTGTGATGCGGAATGCAGTACTTCAGAAACCAAAATACTGAACTTACTGTAGCACGGGTTTGCGTAAAGCAAGTGATTAACGCAGCGATTTTCAACCAGTTTGCCACAAGAATTTTTAAAACACGCAATACCTGACTCTTTAGTCAGGGGCACTGATCTCTTTTCCCTAGATTGTCAAATTTTAAAAAAAAATGACCAGCGCCAACACAACAATAGATGTCCAGTGTGAGCGAATCAAAATTACACCTATTTTTGGTCAGATCAGCAAAAATTATAACATTTTTTGGTGCGCTGCAAAATTTTAGTTATTAGTTTATGTGTGCCATGAGATGAAAAAATGGTATGTATTCTGTGCCAGTTAAGTTTAGGTCAGAATCTCTGTCGTAATTCTAACAACTATATATAAACAGCTAACATTTACTTTATGTTTACCATATGCTAATTGCTATGGTGTCTGCATTGTCATTTAATCGTCAAAATAATCTCAAGATTTATCACCCCATTTTACTGGAATTAGATATTTGGGAGTAGAAGTTTCTGAGTTATGCTTTGCAATTCTATCTAGCATTGCATTCAACTCTTAAGCATATTTGATCAAGTTCTTATATTAGCAGTAATCAAATGAAATATTTGATATGTAGTTTCATCTTGATAGGTAATTAGTTTTAATATCATCAAGGAACAAGTACAGGTAAACAGTCTTGAGATTATATCACTGTTATGTGTAGTTCTTAAATTGATGTTCACAGGCATCTGTTTAAGGCAGCGTTTCTCAATCTGTGGGTCCCGACCCCTTTGGCAGTCCAACGACCCTTTCACAGGGGTCGCCTAAGACCACCCTGCATATCAAATATTTACATTACGATTCATAACAGTAGCAACATTACAGTTATGAAGTAGCAACGAAAATAATTTTATGGTTGGGTCACAACATGAGGAACTGTATTTAAAGGGCCAGAAGGTTGAGAACCAGTAGTTTAAGGGCTGATGTTATAATCAAATACTGTTTTCACTCTAATCTTGTTTTGTTGATTTATATGAGACCAGAATGCAGACTAGTTATATTCTCTAAAAATATATTTTGTTTGTTTGCAAAATGTACTTTTACAAATTGGGGCCTTTTAAAATTTGATTCAGCTTTCTCAGTGCAGCAGGCAACATTAGCTGGCACTGGCTCTGCTCTCTCTAACAGGGAAAAGCAGACTACAAGAGACTAAGTGTATCTGCCTCTATGTCCAACAGACTCACAAAAGCTGGGAAAATTTTATTCATCCTTTTAAAGAAAAAGTTAATATAAAATTATAACCAAAAAAAAGGGAACCTGAACTTTATTTTTTTTTTAAACATATCAGTTATTTAATCGGGTTCTTCTAAGAAATTCAGAACACCAGTTTGTGAGGATAAACCCCATTGGTGAGAGCGAACAGAGAGCGGAGGTAGCCCTGGAGCTGAAGAACAGCCTTGATTTTTGGCAGAATTTGTGAGTCCACAGCTTTCTGGTCAACCTTGCGCTGATCTGTAATCTCATATTTCTCTTTCTCTGTCGAAGATCTCGCCCTCCTGGTGTCTGGGTTTGCGCAGCTTCTTCTTCTTAAAGTAAGCGTCATTGAGATGTTTGGGGATTTTCACACCACTGATATCAATTTTGGTGGAGGTGGCGATGACAAATTTCTGGTGTGTTCTACGAAGAGGAACTCGATTGAGGGACAGAGGTCCAGTCACAAGTAGCAAGCCACTCTGCAGCTGCTTCAGGAAAACCACCCTCTTGCCTCTGTGGCGCCCAGTGAGGATGATCAGAA